CAAGTCCTTGGCTACTTGAACATCGAAAGTTCCCTCAAAAATAGGAAGGTTGTGTTTTGTAAACTTCACAATCCACTGCTACAGCATATTAGGTTCTGTAGCAGGCTGAGGCCTCACAGGAGCAGGTTCCTGTGGTTGCTGTGGTGGTATGGGCTGACCTATCCCAGTATTCCTCGCCCGAGTTGCTGTAGCAATGCCAGTGCTACTGCTACTACTATAGCTATAGCAGCATCCCTCTCTTGTTCCTGCCTAACTTATGTGGCTTGTATCTCAATCATATTCCTTTGCTGTTCCTCTAACCTTTCTATTATCTATTCAATCGGATCAACAGGGGGTCTTGACGACTCTCCCCTTGTATCTGGTCTCCTACCTCTTGATCCTCATCTTCCTCTTACCATTTTGTTATTTTCGTCTCAACTACAAGAGGAACAGAATTATTAATTTACATAAACACTGCTTGTATTACTTTTCAATTTATATATACACGGCATAGTTAACAAAAAGTAAGGTCACAACCCACTACAGACAGCATAATATACAATCATCTTGTGTTTACAGCACAGAAGCAGAAAAAGGAAAAGTAGTAACAATAAAGAGTTCTAAGTCATCTAGCAATTGATGGAAGGTACGAGACACGGAGCATCCACAAATCCTCTAGACCTCCTCCTGCCAAACTCTAGTCCTTGGTAAAATCTCCATCAGTGCTCGGCTCCAAAGAGTATCATCAGTATTTGGACTCTCCTCAATTACTTCATTGTACAATAACCTCACATAAAGGAGAAAATCCAAATAGGTAATACCATACTGATTCTGGGTTTGGTCTATATGCCTTCCTAATTCTCGTAGCTCCCTTAAGATGCTATTGTAGTCTTTAAACTCTTTCTTTATCAGTAAGGGTCTCTTCTTAACTGGTAAATCCTTAGCCTTGACCTGTTCCGGCATCCCAGTCTAGATAGGCACTGCTTTGATGGCACTGGGACCCGCCTCGTTAGGATGTGGCTGAGGTCTTGTGGTGCTTTGGGCATCACCCCTTTCTAACCTAACTAGGTCATTGGAGTCTTCTTCCGAATATATGTCCTCTATCTCCCAAAGAGGCTGATAATATCCAGGTAGTGGAGTCAGGTCGCCGAGGTCAGAAACATGTGGATGGTACCAATTTGGGTACAGCTCTCCTAGCATCCTTTGGTTTACCGATTCCCTGGAATCATCACTACAACAGGCCATGGCTTATCCTGTACTCAACTCAGTCTATAACATACCATTCTACCTAGACATAATCCAACTAGAAGCATTCAATCAATAATCAAACAAATAGTTCATAATCAATCAACAATATTCAACCATTGTGCACAATACATAACAGTCAATATAGTGCATAGAAACAAAGCCAGAACCTTTGCTCTAATACCAAAAAGTGTCACACCTCTCTTTATAATCCATTATACACTAATTGGAACCAATATAAGTCGTTTCATAACATTTCCAGATGAAAAATTTGAAATTTAGGATTTTACTGTTCATCCTGTCAGTACACTGTTCATCCAAAAATGGGCTAATTTTGAAAATTCATAACTAAATCCAGAAAAATCAAAATGAAGTGGTTCCAATTTTCACGCGAAGCTTGCTAAGAGTTCTATGGAGAAAAAATAATCATTAGGTCCAATTCCATCCAAAATAATTCCATAAAATTTGTCAAAGTGTACTGTTTATTTGGTAAATTTTCGAATTTCCAATATTTTTTACCCAATTTTGGAAGGGCATAGTTCTTAGCACACAACTCCAAATTTAATGAATTACCACTTGTTTTAAAGCTAAAAATGAGATATATTTTCCTGTAAAATTTCATGTCCAAAATCCAACAATTACTTATTACTTTATGTGCCACAAATTTGGCACTATTTAGGGAGATTTTATCCCCTAATTTCCATTTTCTTGATTTATTTCTTCTTTTTCCTTCATCCACATCCTTTCCACAATGCATCAAGTATAATTCCAACATTTTGAACATGGAATAAAAGTATAATTTACATCAAAATGTCATCCACAACTTATTACAAAATCCATGTAAGGTTCATTATACATTGCAAAAGTTTCTAACATAACATAATATTCATAAAGCAATTTCATGCAAAGGCCAATTCCTTCCCTTGATCCATGCTTGGTCTACTTACTAATTAGGACATAAAATAACAGGGGAGGAATGAGATTTCAAAGAAATCTTAGCAGCATATGAATTATAATTGTCATGTAAATCAATGCAAGTTTAATTGTGAAATGTCATGCAATCCAAACCATTCCTAACTCATAGGAATTCATACCGAATATTATGAAAGAAGAGGAACATCATATTATCCACATTGACATATCACAAAGCATTTGGCCAAAGCATAACCAATGTCAATCAAACAATCAGTGTCACCACAAAGTTCCTCCAATCCAAGCAACAACAATCACAACAAACAAGCAAGATAAACAATCAAATTATAATTCAAACCTACCTTTACAAAGCTTGTCCATTTAATTCCTCCAAGAAGCAATGCTTCTCCTTAATTCCTTCTCTCAATTCCTATTAAACTAAGCATAATCATGGGCCATATTAATCACAAAACAATTTAATTCCAATACTTAAACATTAACTCAATAATTTCCCTCCTTTTTCTTTGATTTTTAACAAATTGATTCCTTCTTTAGAATCAATCAACTCATAACTCAATCCCACACAATTTTTCATGAGAAATCCAATAGTGCAATCAGATTTTTAAAATTCAACCTCCTTCCCCATGAACCTGATTTGGCCGAACAAGGGTCCTTAATTTTCCAAAAATTTTATTTTTGATTCCAATGATTTTAAACACTTTCCAACATCATATCCCTTTACAAAAACATGTTTAAAAGTCATTGGAATCATCAAATCAAGCAAAATCAATCAGCTCCTGCATGAACAGTGCTGGCCGAAATTTTCACCTTGACCCCTAACCTTGATTTGTCCAAAAATCAATCCATACATCACTTAATATTTCTTATTCCACTTGATTATTAAGGTTTTTATCCTTTCCCAAGCATCACACATCTCAACCGAATTTTTTCAGAATTTTCCAGCATTTTTTCAGCATTTTTCCAAGCGAAAATCCTTGTTTAATCAATGTAAAACTTAGGGATAGTGATGCTTGGACGTATCTTAGTGTTTCGTTGAAGTAAGTTGGATGATTTCTTGCATAAAAATCCTCAAGAGTTTCATGCAACAAGGCTGGATGAACAGTGGCAGAGTTTCTCCTTTTTTTTCCCCAATTTCTAACATTTTCTTCGTATTTTTAAGGGGTGTTTATAGATCAAAAATTCTGCCACTTCTCCCCCCTAATTAGCACGTCCAAAAGACAGATAAGGAGGTATGTTGGCAGCCATCAAGTGTGAGAATTGATCAGATTTGAACAAGTGTACATTTGCTAGATTTTTCCACACAAATATCTCTTAATTTTTGCATTTTTCTTTAATTAATTGAAGCCTCCAAATTTTGCACAAAATTGGGCCCTTATTGGGATGAATGTGGGCCCCACAAATGGTTTGGGTTGGTTTAAAAAGATGACCCACAAACCAAATCACTATCACAAACTAATAAGAAACTTTATCAGTTACTATTCACTAGTAACATTCCATAATTTTTCCAGAACTCCAAAAATTCATTTCTCTCCATGATAATTCACTTTTAATATGAGAATATGATCTGGAAATCTTCATAATTTTTCACCACCTCTAGGTATTTATTTTGAATTTTCTCCAATTAGGCCTTTATTAGTGAATCTAAGGGAAAATAAATTCCCTAAAATTAATTCTTGAGCTTCCAAGACCTAAAATCAATTTTATAAATTCAAACAAACATTTAGATGAATCTTCCATCAATCTCCCAAATTTATTTAGGCCTCTAACTCATTAAAATAATTGTTTTCCTTCATTTCCCCAATAATTTCCTAAAAAACCTCTGTTTACAGCAAAATTCCGTAATGATTTATTTTCACCAAAATTCTACCTTTCGGGCCTCAACCGAGTTTTCAAAACCTCTACTCTACTCGTTTCCCATTTTTAGGAGATTTTCTAGAATTTTTCTCAAATTTTCCTGTTTTGCCCTTCCTAGACTGATAATTACGGAAATACCAGCCCAAATCTTTTCGGGGTTGCATATCAAAAGTTGTTTCATCTCCCCGTCTAGTTTCTATATTGACCCTCATCCCAATTTTTGATCCTTTATTGCCAATGAAAATTTTTGGGATGTGACATTCTCAACAATGCCTTAGCCTTTGCATAAGATCTCTATCATCCTTACAGTTCATCTTTCTTGCTTTCTTTTTATGTCTCCTTGTCATTTCACTTTAGGACCTACTGAATCTGAAGGTTTGATCAAATGGAAGCTAAGTCTCCCATAGCAACCAATTTTGGATTCATGGGTCCTTCCACCTTATAACAACTCCAAAGCAATTCAAAGACCATGTTCATGGCATGGAATAACTTGTGATAATTCAACAGGAAGTGTGATTGGAATAAACTTGGCTAACATAGGTCTTGACGGTACCCTTCAAAACTTGAACTTGTTTGCATTTCCAAATCTTCTTCATCTTGATCTTAACTCAAACAACCTCACTGGTTGCATACTAGAAAACATCGGGGTCCTTTCTAAATTGCAACTCCTTAACCTTTCTACTAACCTCCTCAATGGCACTTTACCTCTTTCTCTTGCAAATTTGACTCAGCTTTATGAACTTGATGTTTCTTGAAATCCCATAACTGGGACATTAGACCCACATCTTTTCCCAGATGGTTCTGGTCAACCCAAGACTGGATTGATTGGGATAAAAAATCTTCTCTTTCAAGACACCAATCTTGGTGGTAGAATCCCAAACGAAATAGGAAACATAAGAAATTTAACTATATTAGCTCTAGATGGGAATAGTTTCTATGGGCCCATTCCCCTATCTCTTGGAAACTATACACATTTAAGTCTTCTTAGGATGCCTGAAAGCCAACTCTCGGGCATGATTCCCCCAAGCTTTGGTAGATTAACTAATCTATCTGATGTGTGCTTCCGCATGAATAGTTTATATGGTCTTGTTCCTCAAGAATTCAGAAATCTTTCTTCTTTAACTGTCCTTCATCTTGTTGAAAATAACTTCTATGGAGAGTTACCACCACAAGTGTTCAACGGTGGAAAGCTTATTAATTTTAGTCTGCCTACAATAGTTTCATTAGTCCAATACCAATGACCCTCAAAAATTGCTCATCCTTGTATAGAGTTTGACTTCAGCATAACCAATTGACAGGTTGTGTAGATCAAGATTTTGGGGTGTATCCTAATCTTACTTATATTGACATTAGCTATAATAGGATACAAGGTAAGTTTCCTGCAAATTGGGGTTCTTGCGAGATCTTGCAATCTCTTCTCATGGCTAGAAACTCAATTAGTGGCACTATACCAGATGAGATTTTTCAGTTGGACCAATTAGATGAGCTTGATCTATCTTCCAACCAAATATTTAGAGGGATTCCTTCCCAAATAGGGAATTTCTTTGGGATGTCTGTTCTATCTTTGAGTAGCAACAAACTTTCAGGTTTCATACCAACTAGCATTGGGAAATTGTCAAATTTGCAAACTTTAGACTTGTCGTCAAACATGCTAAGAGGACAAGTCCCTTCATAAATAGGTGATTGCACAAACTTGCTGCGTTTAAACGTGAGCAATAATGACTTATTTGGCAAAGTGCCATACCAAATTGGAAATCTTGAATTCTTACAAGACCTTTTAGACTTGAGTTATAACACACTTTCTGGTGAAATCCCTGGGGATCTTAGTAAACTCACAAGCTTGATAAGTTTGAATATATCTCACAATAATTTGTCAGGTCCTATCCCTAATTCCCTAACAGCAATGCAAAGCTTGTCAGTCCTCAATTTCTCTTACAATAATTTGGAGGGTCCTATACACAATAGTGCAATTTTCAATTCTTCTAATTTAGTGGATTTGAGCCATAACAAAAACTTATGTGGGAGGATCCATGGTTTGCAACCATGCAATGTCATAATTATAAAACCAATTGGGGGAGGTAACAAAAGAAAAGTTGTGATAATTGTTACTACTTCTATAGCAAGTGCACTTATTGTTTTGTTTGTGCTACTTTTGATTTGTGTCATTCATGGTAAGAGAAACTTAAGAGCTTTAGAATATAAAGCTAGAGTCAACAGGGAAAATCCATTCTCAGTGTGGCACTTCGACGGCAAAATCATGTACGATGACATAATTGAAGCAACTGAGAACTTCCATGAGAAATACTGCATAGGTTTAGGAGCATTTGGAAAAGTCTACAAGCTGGTATTTCCTGGGGAGGATAAAGTATTTGCTATAAAAAAAGTTTGCATATGAAGAAAATAGCTTAGACATTGAGAATATTAGAACTTTTAATAATGAGATCAAATCCATGATGGAAACTCGCCACCGAAACATTGTGAAGTTGTACGGATTATGCTCATAAGGGTTGCTCACATTTTTTATTTATGAGTACATTGAAAGACGGAGCTTATCTAATATGCTTAGAAATGATAAAGAAGCAATAGATCTGGGTTAGTCAAAGTGGGTTCATATTATCAAGGGGGCAGTAGAGGCTTTATCATATGTGTATCATGATTGTGATCCAGCCATTGTTCATAGAGACATATCAAGCAACAACATTTTGTTGTCTTTGAATCTTGAAGCCAATGTCTCAAATTTTGGCACAGCAAGGTTCTTGAAGACTGAATCATCAATTCGAACAACATTTGCTGGCACATATGGGTATGCTACTCTAGGTAAGTCAATATAATTAATATATATATGCTTCTTAGTTTATTTTGCAAATTATTATTTACTCCATGACGTTGTGTACTTTTTGCAGAGCTTGCATACACAATGGCAGTTAGCGAGAAAGTTGATTATATAGCTTTGGTGTTTTGGCTATGGAGGTGCTTATGAGAGAGCATCCTAGAGATTTGATATCACGTATTCAAATGAATGGGATTGGTTATATCAGGTTGGAAGATATTTTGGATCCTCGCTTATCATCAACAAGGCGCCACAATTTTAAGAAATTGGCTTTGATTTGGCAAATAGCTCTTTCTTGCTTACAAATCAGCCCTCAATCTCGACAAACTGTGAGAAGCATTCCCAACATGATTAAAATAAAGACTTTTCATTATACTTGATTGACGTATGTATGCTCAGCCTATCTACCTTTTAAACACACGTGTGTGTAGAGATATATACTATCTCCTGTCCTTAATACAAAAGCTAGTTAACTAATTTGAGTAGATTAAGTGCCTGTTTGGGTCAGCGTTTGGTGGCCCAAATGTGGCTTATAAGTGATTATAAGCTCAATGGAAATTTTGGTCCGTTTGGCAGAGCTTTTTAACAATTAGGCTTATGAATTTTTAAGCCACTTCAACTCAAGATTGAGATAAGCTGGGGAGGAGGAGCTTCTGATCACATGGAAGGGCTTATGGACCGCTCTGACAGGGAATTTATTCCCTTTACTTTTCTCTTTCATCTACCTTCTTTTTATTTCCTTGTGAGTGAGACTCGCTTTTATTTTTTTAAACCCGAGCCCCCACGCTTGCTCCGTTTGTGCTCTCCTCGACAAGGTTTTGCTGTGGAATGTTGATTCAAATTTGACGAAAGTGATTTCTAGATCCAAGCATATCCAAAAAGTATTACTTTTCATACCTTGCCGCCTCTCGAAGCCCCCTCAATCGTAGAATAGAACTAATTGTTGGTAGCTTTTAACGACACTGGCGTAATGTTTCGTATTTGATTAATTTTGCTTAAGCATTCTGGTAATAGATAAATGCATCTTTTTATCTTTAATTAATTATGTAATATTATTTAATTTCATTTTGTTGCAATACTGTAAATTGGAGTTAAAAACATGTTTACCCATTCAAATTATGTTTCGTTTTATATTTGTAATATTTTTTTCCATTTCTCTTATGTTTTCAAATTTAATTCCCTCGACCAATTTCACCTCTTCATATTAAATTAACAATAATTCATTGTATTATGTCAATTTATTTTTTTTCATGTTTCACTTTATATTAAAAACATTTGTTATGATTTTTTTAAAATTTTAAAATTTAATTCACTCGTTAATTTGACTTCTTCATACTAAATTATTTTAATTTTATTGTATTATGTCAAATCATTTTTTATCATATTTCATTATTTATTAACACTCATACCCATTTGGGTAATTTTATAACTAAACTTACTTTTACTCAACTATAATCCAAACAACTTTTTACCAATCTCACTTTTGTAAACTAGCTTTTCTGAACTCCAATCCAAACACAATTCAGCTTTACCAATTTAGCTTTTACCAACTTCACTTTTTCATAAGCTACTTTTCCAATAAGCTGCTTTTCCAATCGCTCATCCAAACGGACCCTAAAAAAGTTTAAGTTAGTTTTTTTGGGTAATAAAGAGGTATTATCTTTTTTTTTTGGGTGATAAATAGGTGTTATCTTCTATAGCATATCCTTGTTAATAATATGTATTAGCTAAAACTACTATTTGATAAAACTTTTAACATGTGCAACTATTACAAGAACTATTTTAAAAAAATAGATAAATATGAGAGACAAAATTGATTGAGGTATTATATTTAGGACCAAATTGAATATTAAATTAGCTTTTATATTAAGGATCGGAAGTCGTATGTATTACTATTGTGTATGTCTGTTTTATGCATAGTTGTTTTACACAATTTCTTTTATAAGTGTCTATAAATTTATGATACACTAATTCATTTGACTTTTATGATCAGGTACCAAACGCTAAAGCTTCAGACAGCATCAATCATGGAATTTTGTACCAGTCACCATTGTTGCTTACTTATAACAGGCTCGCTGCATATGTTTTCTTTTTGCCTTTATTGTGATGTTTTTCGTATAAATGAGTATCTTTGAATCTATTATCAAATGAACTATGAAATTTTAGTTTGGTGGCATTTGTCGCATGTAATAGATACAGATCGAGTTTAATTTTATTTGTCTTTTTTTTTGGTTAGCTTTCATGTTTTTCTTTTGAAGAAAAGATAAAATGCCATTAATGATGAAATAACAATCCAAGTAAAATTAAATGAGATACATAAAAAAAATTTAACTCTAATCTAGAAAATGAAGCTAGAGGAATACAAGATAAAATTTATTGTTAGCTTTCTTGTATTGATGATGATGGTTTGTGTGTCAACAAATACTACTTACAACTCAAATGACACAAGGAAATTATGAGCTTTATACCCTAAGTGACTAAAACACGGGTGTGTGTATGTCGGGTGTAGGGTTAAATTATCTCTAAAATATATATTACTACCTCCAATCCTTAATATAAGAAGTGGTTAGAGATCAAATTTGATCATAAATATAAGAACTCAATATATTTTATCTCCCATTTTTCCAAAATATCCTTATTGGTTGTAAAAGGTTCTCACTAAGAGATAATTTCAATTATCTAATGCATATAATTGAAGAGGATAGTTTAAAGACACCAACATATTTGGCAAATAACTAATTTAACTAATTTTCTTAATATTTTTAAATTAGTTATATCTAACTGATATAAAGTCCTTATAAAAAAAGAGCACTAATATGAAGAGTCTTTGTTGGAACTTCTAAAAAGGGAAAATAACAATAAAAAATCCTGGAATATATAAAATTTCAATTAAAATCATATAATCCATACAGAAGACCCAAACTTTAATAGGAGTTGTGAAATGTGGGTGAAAAGTTGAAAACACTCTTTATTAATAACAAGTTCACTACTATAAATAACAACTTAAGTATTAGATATAACAAATCTACAATTGCAACTAACAATTTCAAACTTCAAATGACAAGTATTACAAATAACAAGTCTATATTAGGAAATTATAAGTTTAGTACTTGTTTGCCATGCAATGTAGACCACAAGTGCATAGTGGCAAGTAGTATAAAGGTATCGTTTTCTTAGAGACTAAGGCTAGACAAGCTGGAAATCATGATTGTATCCTTGATTAGGTTTAGTGAAAAGATTTTGAAAAGGAAAGTGTAAAAATAAAATGCTTTGAAAACAAAGATTAAAAAAGAGTTTAAAAACTTGAATTCAAGACAAATAAAGACATATGATTATTTCTCACTATCATACTTCATAAAACTTGATTGAAAACTCCTCATTTAGTGTTTTCATGACAAAGTATGTTAGTCCAATGTTCATATAGTGTTGATTAAGCTTTCTCAAGTCAAAACCAAATTTTGCAATCTTAATAAACTTTTACAGCCCACTACTACAAAGTAGGCCACTACCTCCCCCCTTAATGTCTTTTTGGTAAGAATCAAAGGACTGCAACTGAGAAAAACATATTGAAGAAAAGGTCAATTTTCTTTGATCTTCCATATTGGTGTAATCTTGATGTGGGAGACATAGTCTTCATATGATAAATGTAGAGAAAAATGTGTATGGTAACCTAATTGGTACTCTTTTGCATATACCAAGAAAGACTAAGGACAGAATTAATGTGAGACTAGACTTGGCAACAAATGGAAATAAGAGAATGCTTACATCTATCATTGAGAGAAGGTGGTAAAAGGGCTTATATAAAACCAGTGGCTCACATATTGTTCAAAGTCGAGAAAACAAGCTTTTGTTGATGTTTACATGGCATTAAGGTTCCACAATTGTACTCTTCTAATATGAGAAGACTTGTTTCCATGGATGATTTGAAGTTGATAGGATTGAAGTCTTATGATTATCATGTAATGATGCAACAATTATTACTAGTGGCTATTCGAGGCATTATAAAAAATGATATGAGAAACCCTATAACTAGATTGTGTTTTTTTTTAATGCTATTTGTAGCAAATTCATTGACATTGACAAGTTGGATAAATTAGAAAATGAAGGTTATGTTATTTTGTCACAACTAGAGATGCACTTTACTCTAGTATTTTTTGACATCATAGTGCATTTAATAATTCATTTTGTAAGAGCGATAAGGCTTCGTGGCTCTATTTTTCTAAGGCAGATGTATCCACTTGAGAGGTACATGAAAGTCTTAAAAGGATATTCTAAAAATCCTTATAGACTTAAGGCATTAATTGTTGAGAGATATGTAACTAAGAAGGCAATAAAGACACGGTCTCGACATGAAGATGGAGAGAGTAGGGGAACACGTGTCACATCCTGTAAAAATTGACCTTGGTAATGGATATGAAAAATTAAGTCAAGGGCCAATATGGAAAGTAGACTGGCTGATAAAGTCAAGCATGATATAAAATTCGGATAGGATCTGGACTGATATCTTTGAAATTATCGGTCCAAGAAGGAAAAAATGAAAATTTTGAAAAAAATTCCAAAAAATGGTTAAAAGGTAAATTAGAGGTTCTGAAACCTCAATAGAAGCCCTAAAGGTGAACATAGTTATTTACAGAATTTCATGAAAACACAGGTTTTTCAAGAAAAATAGTAGAAATTGAGTGTGAAAATAATTATTTCAACTATTTAGAGGCCCCAATAATTTCAAAAAAATGTGGAATAATTACATAAATATATTTTGAAATTTATAAAATTGATTTCAGGCATTGAAAATCTAGGAAATTATTTTGGGAAATTCATTTCCAAAAGTTTTACTGATTAAGGGCCTATTCAGGAAAAATTCAAAATAAATTGTTAGAGGAGGAGAAAAATCTTGAAATTTTTCAAATAATATTATTTTATTTTAAGAGGATTTTTTATGGAGAAAAATATAATTTTGGAGAACTAAAAAAATTATGAAATGTTAGTA